ACGCCCTCATCTCGTTTAAGGCGCGCCGAATCCTGTTTCCCGCGCCATTCAACTGTCAGCGTCCGTGCTCTGGGACACAAGCCTGAGGTACCATTCAGTATTCACCTCATTCTCTCAGTCTCTGCCTTACTTTACTGCGTAAGGTAGCTTTACCTCTCGCCCGCCTCTCTCTCTCTCTCTCTCTCTCTCTCTCAACCTCGACACACCCTGCTTGGACTAGAAATTCTGACTGGGGTGCCTGACGACTGATGACTGGAACTCTCGCCTCATTTGGCTTGGCTTTTTCTTTCTTCTTAGTCTAAACTGGACATAATACGGCGAGACGGTAAAGGTGTGGAATTCAATACTTTGTACACCTCTCACCTCTCTCACACACTCATACTCCGTCCGTTCTCAGCACTCACTCACTCAGTCTCTCACTCTCACTCTCACCTTCACCTGACACTCACCTCTTCTTCTTTCCTTTCCCCCCTTACGAATACTCCGTACTTTCGTACACACTACACACCTTCCTCCCAATCTACACCTTTCCGTCTCCACCTTCCCCGGTCACATTCAATCTTGGCCTCAAACACGAACCGCGTCCACCGATTATTTGGAGCCGTCATTCAACCCAAACCACCGATCCCTCCTCTTAGGCCCTTAGCCTTAGCTCTTGTCTTCTTACAACCACACGTCCCCAACGCATTTTCATCCAACAACGCCTTACCCGCCAAATTACCCATCAAAGCAAACACCTTTTTTTTTTATCCAAAGAGCCAACCTGAACCGCAAGTCTTTGTTGCCTGATTTTCGACAATTCGGGGGGTTTCACTCGATTTGTGGCGACCACATCAATATTTACCGCCAGACAATCAATCGACTCAAGTTACCCGGTCGCAACACAAACCTGCGAGAGGCAGACCGCGATGGAGACCACCACCGAGGTCGAAACAAAGCAGCCGTCAGTTGCGCCCTCAGAGCCGCAGCAACAGACCCCAGTTGCCGAGACCCCTACAACCACAGAGTAAGTTATCTCTTTGTCTTTTTACCGCCTCTCTCTCTCTCCCTCTCTCTCTATTCTCTATTCCCTATTCTTGCTTGCTGCATTTGAGTTGTTGTTACTTGATGCTTCCTTCTTCAGTTGCTCTCCGGTACAAGAACCACGCGCTATGACCAGTGGTGAAGTCATACACTGGGTCGATTTCGACTTCACCTTCACCTTGAACTTGGACGTGGACTTGCCTGCAATCCATCACAGCCCTCAACTCGAGTTCTTACTTCCTTATTCTACTTCGCAGTCCGCACCTACCTTACCTTACCTTCACTTCCTTCTCAGTGTTGTGGCTGCACGGAAAACTCCTCTCCTTCTCTCCCTGACACTGCATCTGACGGCGCTTCTAGCTTCGGCCACTAAGCTAGGTTGTAAGGCCGCCAAAGTTCCCTCTCGTCATTCCCCCTTCCACTACAACCAGCACCGACCCCTCCCTTGATTCAACCGCACCTCTCTTCCCATCAATCAACCAGATCACTTTCCTCCCATCAACCCTTGTGCCTTGTCGCCGATGTACACGGTCTCTCAGATCCTCTGTTTTCATTCCACAGCCTCGTTGAGCATTGGTTTCCTTGATTGTGCGTCGTAAATACTCTGTCTTTGTTCTCACCTCCTGCGAAACTCTCAGAATGCCGTTCCGACGAGACTCCCGCCTCAAGAGCACTCCCGAAGAGCCCTCTGTACCTATTAAGGAGGAAAGAAGGTGCGTCGCATTCCATTGAGACTCTCAACTCCCCATCTGAGTTTCCTGGTTCTTCGCCCTCTCTTTGCGAATCAGAGTTCCAATGTATTTTTGGTACCTGTCAAAGTTCAATGCATGCGCCTGGTTTGCTTGCCTTGGTCAAAAGAGCAACTGGCGAGTTGCCAAGAGGCGCATGTCGAGTCAGGGACAAGTGTTCCCGATTCATGTACGCATACACCATCCGCTTTGGATGGCTTCCTACCCCTGCTCAACTCAAGTCGTCTGCAATTCTTTCGTCTTGCGCAATTGCCTCCTTGTCGGCGATTCTTTTCCTTTCCGTCTCTCTCCCCATTGGCCGGCGCTTTCTCAGTTATAGCCACCATGGCCGAGCGTCACCATCTTTGGTTGGCAAAGACCTCATCAGCGTTGCAAGTGCGCCTATTTGGGCAACATTGCAACACATCCTAAAATGCAACGAACTCAAATCGTGACCAAGCATATACTGATACCAATTTCAGGCTCAGCAGTACGAATGGTGTTAAGCCACCAGCTCTGGATGACGACGACACCGCCAATGACGATGATCTGAGCCCGCCCCCAGAGAACTTGAGCCCTGTCTCAGGCAGCCATGATCGCGCTTTGGAAGATGAGATTGTTGTCGGTAACCGCAACGGTGTGCAAAAATCATCGCCCCTCCGCGTTGTTTCTGATCCCGAGGATGAGACTATGGCGGATGTTGAGGATGAGCCCGTCGTCTCTCACTACCCTAAGCGGAAGCGCGCGTCCGTCTTCAACGACTTGAGTGAAGACAAGATGGAGAGCAGCCTTGTCTCAGAGAAGGAAGGCACGCCACGCGGCACCAAACCAGCTCGTAGGCATGGACTGGGTGGTGTAAAAGGCGTCATTCTCGGATATTGGCGCGATTCGCCCGTGCCGGACCCCAGAGGCAAGCATGCAGTTATTGGCTTCATCGATGTCCGCGATCGCCTCCGCACTCGTATTCAGCAAAACACTCGCTTCGGCGAGCCGGTCTCGAGTCTCGAGTATCCCCTCCCGCCCGGGCCAGGTGGCAGCTGGGTGACCTTCGAACGGGTCGTCTTCGCAGATCACCTGGTCGGCCTGGACCATCACCAAGTGAAGGAATATGTCAAGCTTCGAACGGATTCTATCGAGATGACGGAGGAGGCCCGAGATGCCGCAGAGCAAGCTGCGGCTAAGGAAGCGGTCCGACGCGTTGAGGAAAACCCTCCCCCCGAGAATCCCGTTGCGCCCGCCATTGCATACGGTGCGGAGATTCCCGACCACGCCACAATGCCGGCTCGACCGGACTCCAAACGTCGCCGCACTGGTAGTGGCATCGGCACGATCAGTGGAGGACCGGTACAGCAGACGCCGCCAGCACAGAATATCCCGCCGACTCCTCAATTCGACCCTCTGCCAGGCACCAGACCCACGCGCATCATTGTGGGCTACTGGAAGGGCTCCAGCGAGCCTGACCCCATAAACAAGCACGCGATCTACGGCATCCTCGGACAAAATGACATGTTCCGCGTCAAGGTGGCGCGAGAGACGCGTGATAAGCGTTTCGTGGATGGCAACTTCCCTGTTGGAGCTGGAGCGCTGTGGATTCACTGGGAAGAGGTCGAGCTGGAGCCTCACATCAAAGTACTGTCTCGCCCCGAGGTGAAGGAGTATTGCCGTGTCCGTCAGTACCAAATCGATCAAGGCGAGAGCCCCAACGAGCGAGCCGAGAATGAGGCCAGGGCAGTGTACGAGGCACAGCAGCGCGTGGCCAATGGGATCAACAAGCCTGGTTACATGAACAACATGGGTCCGCCTCCCATCATTGTTCCGCAGCCAGAAGAGATGCTCGAGGCACCCGAGACCAAGGTCGAGGTGAATCCCGAACTGCGCCAGAGCCGCAGAACGGAGAACCGCGGCGTTCGGCACTCATTGCCCGATCTCGACGTCAGACAGTCATCGCGAACCCCGGTACAAGCACAGAATAAGATTGACGCCAGTGCACGTCGCGAAATCGCCCGCATCGAGGCCGCCCAAATTCGAACCGAGCGTTTCGCCGCTGACCGCGAAGCTGCTCAGAACGCCCAAGCTGCCCAAGCTGCCCAGGTTGCTCAAGCCGCCCACATGGCCAACTTGGTCCCTCCTCCGATGCCGCCACAAGCTATGCCTAAGATGCCTTTGCAGAACGGCAACGGCAACGGTCCACGCATGAGTAGCCTGTTCCACGAGCGCGACGAGATGCAGCGCCTGAACAAGGTATGGGCCAGCCAGGAAGAGCACCGCAGCAAGGTTGGAGGTGAAGAAACCAAGTTTTACGGTGGTATCAAGTACGAACGCAAGACCAACGGTCCCTTTGTCGGCAAACTCGTCTCGCAAGGCACCATTATCAGTATTGACGGAGAGGATTATGTCGAGTATCGCGTACTCACGAAGCCGAGTTTCTTCTAGGCGACCAAGACGGGACGCACCTCGCAGCTTGGATCGCTTTTTACATGTTCAGTCAGTCGGCAGTCGCTGAGCGACGATCGCCAGAGTATGGGACTCTTCCTGAGCGTTGAGTCTTCACGAATCTCTCTCTTTCGATACTGGGTTCAACGGATGAAGGCTGTAGGCTTTTCTTTGTTTCTTCTCGCGACAAAATGGATGCGACAAAATGGATGCGAGGTTCGGCGGAAAACGGGTCTTTCCTATTATACCCCCTCTCAACCTTTTCCGGTTAATCAATTTTTCCTTTTTTCGTCTTTTCGGCATGGAAAAGCCAGCTCGGTCTCCTTCGTCACCGGCCACGGAGAATTCGCCGAGGAGGGGACTACTATACCATGTTTTCTTTGTTTTTTTCCCTCTCACGCCCTTCACAGTACCTCGCTCATACACCAGCACCAGTGGCTTGTCTATTTGAGTCGTATGGTAGTGAGGGATCTAGGATTGTGGGCTTTCTTCTGTTGTTGTTTCTAATTATCATGATGCCATTGCTATTCAGAATGGGTACCTCTCAGGTGGATGCCGGAATTGAGCGGAAAGGGGGAAAAGCGTGGGACCGATACCAGGATCCGTGGTTGTCAGTAGCTTTCAGATAGCAATCAAATGAATCGTCTAAACTATTGTGGCATATACAGACGTGCTGGTATCAATGATAAGACACGATTTGAGCAGCTGGTGACTAAATTCAATTCCCACCTGATTCAAAGAATATATGATGTCTTTGATCCTTTAAAGCAATCGATCTGTCCCGAGATTCCCGTCATCGCACGCGACCCTCACTCGTCACTTCTCTTGATCAAAGTCATAGCTATTCCCAAACCCCCTCCCCAGATACGTCTTTAGGGCTTCCTCCCTCGTCGTCCAATCCACAGGTATCTCCAGGTCACTCTTCCCCGCCTCCTTCACCTCCCCCACCTCCTCCTCCAGCAAAGGCCTCACGTCCTCGGCGAACTGCAACCGCATCGGGTTCCGGTACCATGCCGCAAAGTGAATCATGGCCAGCATGACGCGCACGTCGGGCGCCGTGTTGGGCATCCCCGCGTGCCACAGCCGCAGGTCGCGGATGACGATGCTCCCCTTTTCCACCGTCGGCTGCGAGGGTGGGCGGACGGCGCGGCGGAGGTCGAGGAGTGCGGGGTTGATGCGGCCGCTTGCGCGGGTGCCGTGGGTGCCTTGTTGGGCTGCTATGCCGGAGGGGATGATTGTGCCGGTGTAGCCTGGGGAGGACGTTGTAGTTGCGGTGGTGGTGGTGGTAGTGGTGGCGGATGAGGATAATGATGAGGATGGAGAGGCAGGGAGGAGGTACGGGGCGTGGGTGCCGAGCCAGAGCTCCGTTGAGCCGTTTGAGAGCGTCATTTTCACAAGGGGGATATTGATTACGAGGGCGAAGGGGTGGGATGGGTGGGCAAAGTCTGCGTCCGAGTGGACTGGTTGGCGTTGTGGCTCTGCGTCTGGTGATGGCGGCATGGCGGAGTTTGCGGAGCAAAAGGTCCATTTCGGGCGTGGGCCTAGGAGGGAGGAGGTGATTTGCGTTGCTATGGCGTCTTGTCATTTTGGCTGTGAGTTAGTTATAGAGATATAATGAGGATGTGAGATGGGCGTGAGACATGGACATCAGGTTAGGGGGAGACAGGGGGAGAGTTTTGGAAACGTAAGACTCAACTTGTAAAGATGGACTTGTAAAAGTACTCGGCCACTGGAGGCGGATCTTGTTGTAGATTACCCAGGTTATAGTTGAAGGGCCCTTTGTCTCCCAGAGACCGGAGGTAGAGCGCGTCCTGGACCATTTTGGCGTTGAGGGCGTCGAGGTCTGCGTGCGGGACAACGTCGGCGACGATGACGAGACCGTCTCTGTGGAGGTGGCGGACGGCGAGTTCGAGGTTTCGCGGGGAGAGGCGAGCGTTGAGAAGTTCGGATCGTGAGGGGTGTATTGTTGCTGGTTCTGATGGGAGGTTCTCGTGATCGTAGTCGTGGTTGTTTGGTGTAAGTGAAGCCATCGTTCGGCGGCTCGTGAGAGGGGTGCGAAGACAAGATGGGAGGTTTGAGATGGAGGAGAAGAGGCGTGGACGGAGCAGCATTGTTGGGAAAGAGATTGCTTTCATGATTGAGAATGGATGATTGTGGGTAGATGCATACGATGAGCAAGCTTGATGAGAAACTCCAGTGATTTCTCATGCATTTATATCTCGAAGTGAGGAGGCTTGAGAGGAGGTCCCCTACCCCAATTCCGAGCTCGGGTTTGGATGACATAACGTGCATCCCCCCATCCACCCCGGTACTAGGTTTCCCCAGGTTTTCTCCAAACCCGAGCTCGGAGTACGCTAAACGACTCCCCTCTTCATGGCAAGCAACGGGTAGGTAACCATCCTCTAATTAATGTCTGCCTCCTCATTCGCCGTTCGCTTGTTCCCGCGGCGGCGGCGGCAGTGAATTCCTCCAACCTGCCTCCAGGTCCGAGACGAGTGTCTGGACGGGCCAGCCAATTGTCCGTTTACACGCCAAGAGGCGGCGGATCAGCTCCTGTCGCGAGGCTTCTGTTCTGATGAATCGTGCGCCTGCGAGGAGTAAGTTGAATTCTGTAGATCATTCGGTAGGGCTTATGGGCGGGAACGATGTATGGAGAGACCTGGTCCGGGAGCCTTACAGAATGCAATGGGGCCAAAGGCGTTGACTTGGACCGAGGGCGTGTTGGTGGTGAAGGCCACGCCGCATACATCGAGGGCGAGGTGCTCGAGGATGTGGTCTTTTGTGTCTTCAGGACCCAGACGGCCGTCTAGTGTGCTTCGAAGACTTGATAATTGTTGCGGGTTTGCTTGGATACAGAGTATTGTTGTGGCGACGAGTTGATAGTGAAGGGCCCCCGCTAGAGTGCTATTTAGTCACAAGACAAAAATGTTTTAAGATATAAAGGCCTACCGTGGTGGTCTCTGAGCAACCAAATGGATGGCAAGGCGAGGCCCAGACCTCCGTCAGCCGTAGAGAAGGGCTCAAATCGTGACGGTAGACTTTTACGCCATTCACGTAACAGATGAGAAAGGCTAGACCACAACTCCTCCGTGACGGAATCTGAGCCTCCGAAGCATGTATTGATGATGCGGCCGAGAATGAGTGTGATGGCATTAAGGTAGTCCTGATCGGTTCTTTCGCCGGTCATCGGTAGGGCTAAGGGCACCCGAGCAAGATCTATCTTGAGCGGGCATCTTCGGAATAAACTAAAAGTGATGTCCTCCCGCAGGTAGTTCCAGAAGCCTGCTTCTCGAAGGTTCGACCCAAAGAAGTCGGTTTGAGGGTTATGATAGGCTGCCAAAGAATATGCTCCTTGAAGGTGCCTGTTTGGGTCGACCTCTTCTGCTTCAGTGTCAGTTTCTGCAACTTCCATGCCGAAGTGTCTACAAGATGCGTGAAAGTCTAGTAGTGACCAGAAGACGACAGAATCTCACCACTTAAAATCTCATACGACCGCAAGAGACAGACAGAAGCCAGCGCAAGCTCCTGCGTTCGCTCATCATTGTCGTACTCCTCCGCCGTCAGGCCAATCAGCAAACGAATGCAGTGGCCGTGGTAGAATTCGGCCGCCGTCCTGGCGGAAGGCGCAGTCGTTCGGCTCGTGTGGACCGCGGACAATGCCAAGATGGCGGCAAAGGGCAGCGAACTTTCGAGAGCGGCCTCGGGAAGGCTTGCGGCAAAGGTCAGGGACGCGTCGCTGAGGTCGTACCACGGCGCGATGTCTGCGATGTAGTGGGAAAAGTAGCGTGCTATTGACGGATTCTGGAGGGCTTTGCGGGGGTTGGATGGTGACGGGAAGGGGGTTTGCGGTTCGTTTGCTGTGAGGGATGTATGTGAGCTGTCCAACGTCCAAAGAGTCGAGAGGGCTGAAGTGAGCAACAGAAATCTACTCACCGGCGGAGTCGGGCTTTGCTGTATCCCCCTGGCCCTTGTCGAGTTGTGGGAGCGGGATCGTGCGGTCACAGTATCGCTGAGCCTTGCGGCAACGTTGGCACGCGGGCAGAGCCTCGTCGCCTAATCTCGTATTCGTTGGAGGAGCTCTCATCCTATGGTGTCATGGTGGATATTTGCTTACATTTGACCTTGCGGACGCGGCAGGTGTTGCTAGTGGTAGTCGAGTTGTCAGCACGATGATGTGCCGGTGGGCAGGTTAGACACTAGTTCTTATTCTCTTCTTTACCATGCTGCGTTCATGTCAAAAATTATATTGCCCAAAGAGACGCTCAATACGCCACTGTGCCGAGTCTATATCTTACCTGCTTGGTTGAGGATACGAGGCATCTTTCCTCGACTTTTTTGAGTTCTGGGTGGAAGGACGATGGGAACCAAAATGCAAAGTAGCTGCGACCAAGACCGCCCTTACTCAGAATAAAATTGTCACTGCAGCGCTATGACACAAGAAAGCGGCGACCAAGACGTACGCGCCGACAAAATCGCGAGGTAGGAGGAAATAGCGTCAAAGGATGAACTGTTGTCTTTGGGCGAAAAAAACTCCAATTCCCCGTCTTCATGGCTGAACGGCCGGTACCCCGCGCTCGGAGCGGACGGGAGAGTGGGGCGCCGGCGGCGATCCCGTCTCACCCCGGATCGCCGGCAGCCACGTCCCTAAGCACTAGAATCGCCAAGCCCCAAAGATCAGCGCAGAGCTAAAGAGGCAATGCTCTAGCGAGCGGCTTATGACATAAATCACAGAAATAGAACGTCTTGAAGGATCCGAGGTGTAGAGTATCATGAGGTAGGACTAGCTTAGTGCCGCCACGATGAGAAACGTTGCATCAAGAATCATGAACTATGATCCGAGTTCAACTCATATATAAACCCAATGGCATTGCTGTGACGAAAGTTCTCATTCAGACTCAGACTCACATATAAAACCAAGCAACTACATTACAAAACAATATCACCCACAACATTACTATTCTCACTCAATAACTCATCAAAATGTTCGCCCAGACCCTCATCCAGACGACCCTCCTCGCCGCAGTGGCAACGGCAGCCAGTCTTCCCGTCAGACAAACTACAACCACCTTCCGCCTCGCCGCAAACGTAACAAACTTCGACCTCACACCCTCCATCCAGGGCCAGGAGCTCACCTATACCCCAACAGCAGACTGCGCAGCCAGTGTTGTCTTCGGCCTAGCTGGCCAAGGCGCCGAATTCTACGCCACCGGAAGCACGGTCAACGTCGCCCACCTCTCTGGCGAAAACTCTTCTCCTTCGGCCGGGTTGATCGTCACACCCGGCGGTACGGCGACGGTGCCGAGCCTGAACACCGTCCAGCTGCAGTGCGGAGCTGGGACATCTGGCGTGACCGTTACCGACGGAAGTCTGCAGTTTGAGGACGGGTTCTGGATGGCGTGTCCCAGGAACGGCAGCGTTGTGCTGAGCTTTAAGAAGGCCGGCCAGAGAACCCTTCTGGGGTGCGCTGATGTTCAGCTTCTCAGCACTTAGGAAGAACATCTGAAACACTAAGAAATGGACCGACTGCATTGTTTCACAGGTAATACATGGCGGATATGGTGAATAAGATATGGTATTGATAATATTTGGGTAATTTGCATCATATTGGTCTATAGACGGGTTGTATGGAAATCAGAGCAAGGCATGAGGGGCATAACATAACAGCAGCATGGGTAAAGTTTTGGTCGTTAGAATTTGGTATTTTTTTTAATTCAATTTGCATACCCAAATGCCCTCAAGGTCACCTCACTCTGCCCAGGACCGTTCAGTCGATCTATAATAGTCCAACATTTGATATACCAATCCATCCCTCAGCTGGCTTTTAACCACCTTATTTAGTGCACAGCTCCACAAACTCCGCGATCTCCTTGTTAAATCTCTCAGGCTGCTCATAAAACAACCAATGTCCAGCCTCAAAGACAGACGACTTCGCCAAACCAGGCCGGTTCTTCTCCACCCTCCTGACAGTCTCAAGCATCCCCTCAAGCGGGAAGCACCCAGACTTCCGCCCCGCCATCACCAGCGTCGGCACGCTAATCATCTCAATCGCCTCGCGGTGGTCGTACCGCGTATGATCCGCCAACAACCTCGCAAGCCACGCCTGATCGCACAGCGCACTAATCCCCGTGAAGAACTCCTCGTCCTTCTTCCTCACCTCAGCAGAGACGTCGTCCGTCGCCGGGTCAGGCTTCGCGCGGTACCCCAAACACCCGTCCACGAGATCGACATGCGCCGCCGCCGACTCCTCCATCCAAAACTTTTGCGCGCCCAGCATGCTCTTCTCGTCGTAGCAGCCCGTGTGCGCCAACTTCTCATCCCACCCGTCAAACAGCGACCGATCCTGCAGCGGCGCCTGGTCGACAAAGACAAACCCCGCGAAATCCGCGCACCCAAAGAGCTCGACGTACGTCCACAGCACCGCGGCGCCGATGGAGCAGCCGACGGGCACGATCTTGAGGTCGGGCGAGGCGGCGGCGCGCCGCAGGTGGTGGACCAGATCGCGGAGGTCGGCGGCCAGGCGGGCGACGTGGTAGCCGCCCTTTGTGCGGTCCGATTTGCCGTGGCCGCGCATGTCGGGGGCGACGACCCAGGTGTCCTCGGAGGAGGCGAGGGCGTCGGCGTTGCGGTAGAAGTAGTCCGAGGAGCCGCTGAAGCCGTGCATGAGGAGGATGCAGCGGGTTGCGGAGCTGGCGCCGGTGAGGGGCAGAGAGGATTGGAAGGCGAGTTTGCAGCCGTCGTTTGCGCCGCAGTGGGCGTAGTGCATGCTGGAAGACGCCATTTTTCGGTGAGAGTAGTGTGAAGCGCTGTGAGACGATTAGAGAGTGAATGAGATATTTCCCCTCCTCGATGAAAATAGTTCGGTGGTGGTGAGTTTTGTTTTAAGGGGTCACATTAATTGTTCTGGATTGATAGAACGGCGGGGACGTCATGGGGGGGAGGGATGTTTTCTGTTGGTGGGGCCGATGCGGGGGTAAATCGGCGGCCCGTGATAGCGGCGGCGATCCCCGTCCCCGCTGCCGATAGTGCCGAAGTCTGACTTTATTTGGACAGCCCTCTTCTCCAGGCTTCTCGGACTTCCTCACACTTTATAAACTCGTAGGTAAAAACTGTTTACGCATTCCACGTTTCATGGTCCCTTCCACTGAGGACTTAAGGCTGTGAGACTGGTACTTGGTCGATAACTCATTTACTTGAGACATCAGACGTCCCACTCGCAGCCATTTCCTCTGGCTTTAAACTCCCAGAGAGATGTCTCAGCCCAGCTCATAAGATGATCAAAACTTGTGCCGCTGCCACCCCCATTTCATCGATATAGGAAACCAAGTTGATTTATGTACGAATGTAATATGTATTTCAGAATTTCCGTTTGCTATTCCTGAACTAAACACAAACAGCCCCTGGTCGTCGGTATGAAGCTTTTTTTCCCATCAGAAAAGAACTTTGTACAACTTTCGCGCAACACTCATGTACACAACTCCTTTTCCTCCTATATACCAAACCCACACAGCTCGCCGTCGAATCCAAGGGGAGGGTTGGTTCTAGAAGCCTAGAAACCGATTCCCCTCATCATAGATAGCCCAAGCTCTAAGCTTCAACACCAACAGATGTCAGCGTGCTTTTTTAAGCAGACGGGGTAGAGGTGGGCGGGGCACCCGGGGGAGCACCGGTAGGGAAGGTACCATTGGGAGGTGGGCCACCGGGGCCGTCGCCGCCGCTGCTCTGGTCGACACCGCCGCCCTCGTAGTAGTGCGCGGCAGCGCGGACCTCGTCGCTGTAGTCGGCTGTGGTGTCGATGCCGATGGTGATCCACATGAGAAGGCCGTCGTTGAGATCCTCGCCGAGGCGGACGTACTTGAGGAAGGGGTCGTAGAGGGCGGTGGCCTCGCCGGCGGCGATGCCGTCCTGGAGGTTGGTCGTGAGGGTCTGGGTGTTGCTGGTGTAGGGGGCCAGGGTCTCGACCTCGGAGATGAGGTCCTGGTCGAAGAAGAGCTGGCCAATGTTGCGGGCGGTGCCGCCCTCGAAGGTGCCGTTGGGGAGGATGGTGGCGCCGTCGGTGGACATGATGTGGATGTGGGTGGCGCGGCCGGTGTAGTGGCCCGGGAAGACGTAGTCGAACTGGACGACGCCGTCCGAGTCGGACTTTTGGACGCCGCGGCCGTGGGTGGTGTTGAGGCCGCCCTGGCCCCGGGCGGAGACGCCCGAGTAGACGCCGGTGGCGTTGCAGGCCCAGGCGTCAATGATTTGCTCGGGGACGGCGGTGCAGTCGTTGATGTCGACGAACTGAATGTCGAGGTGGACGGGGACGCCGGCCTGGCCGTCGGTGGTGTCGACGCGGATGAGCTCACCCTCGACGTAGTAAGGGCCGATGGTGGTCAAGGGGACGAGGGCGCAGGTGGCGTTGGAACCAAAGATCTCCTCGAGAGGGGTGTCGAGGTTGTAGGCCTCGGTGGACTCGTGGTCGACGGCGGCCCACTTGACAAGGTCGGCCTGGGCGCGCTTCTGGTGCATCTTCTGGTCGGTGAGGCCGCGCTTCTCGCGGAGCATCTGGGCCGTGTTGGCGCGGCGCTCGAGGGCGCGCTGCTTGAGGGCCAGGGCGGCGGGAGAGTTGGAGCAGGCGTCCAGAGCGCGCTTGCCGTGGACGGTGACGACATCGCGGAGGGCGATCTCTGCGGCAATTTCGTCGGTCGTGTGGCTGCCATGGGCTGCGACGGTCCCAATGAAGGGGGAGAGGGCCAGGGCCGCGGCGAGGGCGGAGCGGAGCGCCATGGTGATGATTCTCTGGAGATTCGAAGACGAGAAGACGGGGGCTTGCTGGCGAGTGAAGCAGACCACAAAAGTGTCAGGAGCAAGCTGAGAGAAGAGAAGGACTGATGGACGTGAAGAGCCTGGTGAGAAGAAGGAGAGATATTTCGTCTTTCTGGCAGGAATATCGACCTCCTCTTATATCAGTCAACTTCTTGGCGTTTCCATGATCCATCTTGTTTCCTCCTTCCTGATCCTGATGATCCCGTCAACGTCAACATCTTGGCATTGTCACGGTATTGCAACGTACCCTACTCTCTCATCCCCTTCATCTGGTCTCGAACAGCAGAGCTAACCCACCGGCCAACACCGTATCCCGGCACGACAAGTCGAGCACGGAGCACGCAAAAGAAACTACATTCCGTACCAAGTAAAGACTCTCGTCTCTCTCTCCGTTTCGTTGGCGTTCCCCACACTCCCGCGCGCGGGCGCCTGGCGAGACATCGTCGTCACCTTCCTTCCCAGAGTCGTTTCGACCGGCGTATGAGGGGCGTGACAATGTCGTTCGAAGCCACTGTATGGTTTAGCCTCAAGCAAGGTACTCTGTAGTTGGGATGTAGTTTGGGATCGAGTTGGTTCCTACTCCTCCTCCTTCCCGGAGCGTTTACAAGGATACCACATAGTACCTTACTTGGAAACCTGGTCGTCCCGCCACTCCGCGCGCACCGCGGAGCCAGGGAATTTAACACTACTGTGTAAGGTTAATAGAGACTAGAGGAGTGGCGGCTTTTCTGCGAGTGACAGGCTAGCAAGCGCGAGCGGCCGATGGTCGCAGGGGTTGGGGGGTTATTCGGACGTCCAAGACATGTGTCATCCAATCAAGGCAGAGGCAATTCCAATTGCATTGCGTTGGGTCATTTGGCAAAAACAAAAAAAAGTGACGGTCCTGGTCTTTTCTCCCGTTCCGCAATGTGAATGTGTGGTTCAATTCTCAAGGTACGGTGGTACGGGGATCGGGGTGTGAGTGGGGTCCGTTGGGACCCCCCCCGGGGAGCGGCGGTTTGGGATGGCGTATCCGGGATGTGGGCAGCGGCCGGGAAGTGGTTACGTGGCTCGGCCGAAAACTCCTAGGGCCACAAACAAACGAACAGTGACACTCCTTCTCGACTCCTGCAGATGGACCCAAAGCACGAACAGGAGGATACGTTTGGATCAAGGAGGAAGGAGGATAGTGCTCCTTTTTTTTCATGACGCGGCCCGACACTCTGCCAAGAGATCTCTTGACCAAAGGCGTACAGACGTGCCTGGAGATCCAATTTGGGTGGGTTTCATCTTTCGGAGCTTTGAGGAGGTAGGCAAAGTCCAGGAATCCAGCGAGCCCAGCCTGACCAAGCATACTGCAGTATTAAACGACGACTTCGGAATGGTTGTGATTCCCGGTAGTTACGGTTGTGGAGCCGGCCGTCGATGAGCCTCCGGTGGCATGCAGAAAGCATCCGCACCTCAAAGCCACTTATGCTTGAATGCTGTCCGTCCCCCTAGCACCAACCCTTGAAAAGTGGGATTTGCAATCAATGGGCGGCCGCGTCATGAGCGAATGAGGACGGCAGTGAATGTAATGAACGACGTTGTATGGCGATGCGGAGACGGCAGCTAGTCTTTGCTGGCCTGCCTACCTAGGGTCTCAAGGGAATATGGTGGATAATACCCGTAGTCTAGATGTATAGTAGTCTGTAATCTGTATGGCTTGCGTGATCGTGATATGGATTCCGTCCGGCCTATCCACAAAAGAGGAATCCGGAAGATGGGCATCGAGGATGGAAAGTGGTAATGGCGTCCGAACCCGTTCAAGCTTATTGGAGATCCCTATCAACGCTCCCCGTTGATCGAAGAGGAGTCAATGCAACTCTGCCCCCCCCCCCCCTTTCCTTCTCCAGTTCGAACTTTGGACGTGCTTCCAGGCCCAATGACTTCACAGGAGCGGCGAGCTTCCTTCACCGAAAGTCCACCTTGGAGGATCTAGAGCTCTAGAAGAACCTGGGAACTCGCCCACAATCCACATTGCTTTAACCTCCTTCCAATCTGTGCGGCCGGCCCCAGAAGCCGGCCAGAGATAACCTCGGCCGCCCACCATCTCTGTCCACCCTTTGCCCACCTTCTGGCCCCCCAAAGGCCCAGCCCCCTCTTGCATCGCCTGTTCCTTGACGTGCTTCACATGTCTAAGCAGGCACGATTCCTTCAAATTTGCCCTCGGGAGAAATGATGTATTCAAACAAGTGCCTATCGCCCACATCGGTAAGTAAGTACACATCCCGAAAAAGAAAAACTTGGCAAAAGACAGAAAAAGAATTTTGTTGACCACCAAGCCGTTCGGCCAACGCCGCTCTCTCCCAATATATTTCTCTCTCTCTTTCTGTCACACACACACATCACGCCAGCTTCCCAACTACGTACGGATGTCCCGCGCTCAACCCGCCATCGACAGCCCACGCCTGCCCGTTGACGTAGCTGCTCTCGTCGCTGCCCAGGAACAGCGCCACCCGCGCAATCTCGTCGGCGTGCCCGCCGCGCTTCATCGGGTTGATCTGCCCGATCCGACCCGTCGTGCCGCGGGCGCGCGCCTGGTCCCACATCTGCGACGTCATGCCCGTCTCGATGAGGCCCGGGCAGATGGCGTTGACGCGGACGTTTGTGCCGGCCGCCTGGTACGCGCACGTCTGCGCGACGGAGATGACGGCCGCCTTGGCTGCCGAGTACGGCGTCGTGCCGGCGTTGGAGCGGATGCCGGCTACGGAGGCGGTGAGGATTACGCTGCCGCCCGGGGTGGGCTTGTCTGCCGAGGTCTTGCGCATGGCGGGGGCGGAGTGCTTGGCGGCAAGGAAGACACTGTGAAATGATTGTTAGCGCAAGAGGTGTCAGTGGCAAAGTAAGTGGTACGGAGTACTCACCTCAACGTATTCGTCCGCAGGTTCTGCATAAAGTCATCCGACGAGATATCGGTAAAGAGGTTATGAGGACCGGTAATACCGGCATTAGCGAAGAAGATGTCTAGCCTGCCGTACGTCGTCAAGGCGTGAGAAACGACCTCCTTGACGGCGCTCTCCTCGGCAGCGTCGAACTGGCGGGTGTGGACCTCGACCTTGGGGTACAGCTTATTGAGCTCCTTCTTGTGCGAGGCGAGGTTGTCGTCGGCGTAATCGCAAATGTAAATGGCGCGGGCGCCGTTCTCGGCGAATTGATGTGCTGATGCGCGACCGATGCCCATGAGAGAGTTTGCGCCTGGGGTTCGATTGTCAGTCTGTCTACTGCTGCCGCCGCCGCTGCTGCTGCGTGACGTGTGTTCGACTGACCTGTAATGATCACGACCTTGCCAGGTACCCGAGGCGCCGCAGACGGCCCGGCAATCTTGACAGGAGGAGGGGCATCGAGCTGCTTGCCCAGAGCTTGAAGCCGTTCCGACGCCTTGTCCGACATGGTGCTGGTGCTGGTACTGCTGCTAATGGCGGTGATGGGGTTTCGATTTTTAGACAAATGAGGTCAATTCAGCCAGAGAACAGCTAATCTACACGAAAGAAGACAGAAAATAATAATAATAAAGGTGAACAGCTTGTTTGGATATACTAGTCAACCACTATGCAAATATGCGGCGCAGGCTGTACAGATATGTTGAAAATTGTATTAAAAATGCGGAGGAGGAGTCAGGAGGATGGAGTGGGAGGAGGAGAAATGACGATGCGGAGGCCGAGGGAGCTCTAGCTTGAATTGGGGACCGAACCGAGGCTCACCGGGGAATTCGAAAGCTCCCCCCAGCTACCTATATTGGGGGGAAAAACGTACCCCGCCAATTTGGCGCTGCTGCTGCTGGTAGGTGGGGTCTTTTTACCCCAGATGTTAGCGGAGAACACAATCCACGGGCCACTTCGGGACCACTTCTCCCGCTGTGGACTGCCCCTTTCTCAAGTCCATTGCTATCTGCCAATCTTTCAAAAGGTCGTTATTGTCCTCTTTGCATTCGATATCCGCACATTGCCAGGCCATCCCACTTAAGACCAGGCTGCCAGTAACCTAGGCAAGTCAATTAGGAAAAGTTTATCGGCGGTTTTCAACAATCATTGGAAGATGATCCGGATATACCGTTGTCAAAACGACCGGATTTCGGTTTTCGGCTGTCGCCGAGCTCGCTTTGACAATCACTTGGCCTCAACACCTTCTCGTGCCAATCACTCACAATCAACTACAAGACTTGAATGCCAGTATCGGCGCTACCCCTATCGCCACTGACCTCATAGAGCCTCAACATCACGGAAGGGAATGGACACTCACGATGTTTACCTCATCGTCCTCATATGCGGGGAAATGCTTCATTTACATAATTCTACAAACGAAATAATACACTCAATCGAGTGGCTGCACTTTACCGAGTACAGCCGCTGCTGATCCCGTATAAATGAACGGTCCGCTTGCGTTGCTGTGATGGGGAGTGTATAAACACGACATTGTCGGTCTTGCCCTCCCTTTACTCAATAGCCTACCCAATCTATGTCCAACGCCGACGCCTTGATTTGCGAAGGCGTATCAAAGCCCCAAGGTGAGGGGAGAGTGTGATTCGTGCGCGCAGCGGATCTTACGAGAGACCCTACTACGTCCTTTCGCCTTTGGCCAAGAACATCTTGACCAAGTTGCGTTGGCCAAACCAGGCCGGTCTCGTTTTCCTGGTTATCCTCCATAGGCAAATGAGATCGCAAATTCTTTGAATTTCTGATAAACGCCTGCCATGCTGTACCGGTAAAATGATACATTGTAAGTCCATGCGAATGCCTCCCAACAGGCCGCGACTCGGCTCTCGCACTTCCGCATGCTAACCGTAAAAATCAAAATATGTTGGTGATAGTCCCAACCAGGGTCACATACAGTAAGCTCTGATCATGACTTCTGGTTGGATCCAGGAGCGACGCCACCCGTAGAAGTCGCAGGTGGAGGTGGCGCCGGCGGAGGCGTAGCGGGTCCGGCAGGAGGAGGGAACGGCGGGGGGATCGTCTGGCCAATATCGACGCCCGAGCTTGCGGGCACCTTCATTGGGCCTTTGGGCATGGGTGTGCGGTCAGGAAGCTTCTCGCCGCGAATGACCTTCTCTACCTCGTTCTTGTCCAGCGTCTCGTACTCGACGAGGGCCTTGGCCAGGAGATCGAGCTCCTTGCGCCTTGAGGTGAGCAGCTCGCGTACCTTCTCGTATGACTCCGTCAAGGTACGCTGCACTTCGGACTCGATGAGAGCCTTGGTCTCTGAACTGAGTTGGTTGTAGCGCTCGCCGTACTCCACGGGGCCGAGCTTGGCAGACATGCCGTAAAGGGCGACCATCTGGAAGGCCAGGTTGGTAGCATTCTTGAGATCCTGCTTATCGTTAGTAACAATCCTACGAGTTAGATTCGAGGATAACCTACGCTTGAGACACCAGTGGTCACCTTGTCGGTGCCATAGACCAGCTCTTCAGCAAGCTTTCCGCCCAGAGAAGTCTCAATCAAACTCTTGAGATCCCTCGTCGTGTACGAGTACTTGTCCATCTCAGGAAGGTGTGCAGTGTGTCCGAGACTCTGGCCGCGAGGCAGAATGGTAACCTTGTAAAGCTTGTTGGGGCCACTCTCGTGGTAGAAAGACACCAGGGCGTGACCCGCCTCATGATAGGCAGTCATCTCCTTCTCCTTCTGGCTGATGACCATGCTCTTCTTCTCGGCACCCATGATGACCTTGTCCTTGGCCCACTCGAAATCCGTCATGGAAACTGCAGCATTCTTGAGCCTGCTGGCGCGGACGGCAGCCTGGTTGACAATGTTCTCGAGCTCGGCACCAGAGAGGCCGCCAGTGCTGGAAGCAATAGCCTCAAAGTTAATCTCGGGGGCAGCCTTGACCTTCTTGGCGTGGTACTTGAGAATCTCGATACGGCCGCGGACGTCGGGCAGGGGAACGGTAACGTGGCGGTCAAAACGTCCAGGTCGGGTAAGTGCCTTGTCGAGAAGTTCCGGGAAGTTGGTAGCAGCAATGATGACAACACCGCTGTTCTGCTCGAAACCGTCCAATTCCGTCAAGAGCTGGTTGAGCGTCTGCTTGTGGTAGGCGGCATCCCTAGTATTGCGGCGTCCACCAATGGCGTCGAGCTCGTCGATGAAGATGATGGCTGGAGACTTGGATTTGGCGGAAGCAAAGAGATCGCGGACACGCTTGGCACCGACACCGACATAGACCTCGTCGAACTCACTGCCAGACATGTAGAAGAAGGGGACGCCAGCCTCACCGGCAACAGCGCGAGCCAAAAGAGTTTTACCAGTACCAGGGGGTCCAACCATCAGAATACCCTTGGGAAGCTTGCCGCCGAGGGTAGAGAACTTGTCGGGGTTGCGGAGGAAGTCGACCAGCTCCTGAAGCTCATCCTTGGCCTCATCGGCGCCGTGCACGTCTGCGAAACGGGTAGTCTGGTTCTCGGCCTTGGCCTCGCTGTCCACTTTACCGCCGGGTCGCTTGAAGAGGTTGAGACCTTCGACCAGCATCGTGACGACGACCAAGCTGAGATACGTAAAGAGACAGAACCACAAGACGAACTTGACCCAACGGAAGATGACACCGCCAAACGACTCGTCTACGACGACGTGCAGCGGACTAGTCGGTAGGCCGTTGCCCTGGACCTTTGCGGTAGCCATGTTCGAATCGCGCGATCTCGCAGCCAGAGCTTGACCAACAGCCTGCAGCTGCGCCTGGCTAAGGTTCCCAGGGGACTGCTGGTTCAGCTCCTGACCGCCGAGTGTGCCGACATTGCCAAAGGCGGAGGGTAGGTGGTCGTGACCACCCATCCCGCCGACGGCGCCGGTGCTCTGCATGCCAATCGCCTGTGCGTATGCCTGGTCCACCGCATCGTTTCTCGCGAATCGGCCAGAGTTGTAGCGCTCGATGACGATGGCGGGCATGTTGGCCTTGAGGAGGAGTTGGTAGAATGCGTTCTGCGCGGTCGCGCTGCTGGGGTTCCTGTTCGCTGCCGACTCCCTCGTGGCGAGGAGGTTGCGCGAGATGGCATTGTTTGTTCCAAAGAGTCTCAGCTGATGATGCTGTTGCTGGAGCTGGAGGGCGAGACCCAGACCGGGGGTCCGAGTGAAGGCGGTGGTGTTCGGGCGGGCGGAGGAGGTCGCGAGGCGGAAGACGGATTGCATTGTCGCGGGCTGCATTATCGCCCGTCGGAGCAGTGGGCTGGTCGCGCTCAGCGCCAGCGCTGCTGGGCGTAAGGCCATGATGCCTTCGGGGTAGCCGGGTAGGCGCGGTGTAGGCTGGAGCGCGTATTCGTCAGGGCAGATGGTTTACTTGATGTCAAGTTGGGGATGGTAACAAAGGGTTCTTGTAGAGGGGAGTTCCCCTTACGAGACCGAAAAGTGGAAAAGAGAAATAGAAAAGAAAATGGTTTCTTCAGTTACTATCGACGTCGTATGTGCAGGTGTGATGAAGATGACATGGTTCGCGCCGAGGGTTGACTCGTCGTCTTGTTGAGAGCGGCGACGGGGCGGCGGGATATGGATACGTTGAGGCGAAATGCGCTACGGATACCTTAGCTGACGTTATTCATTGACCACGACATTGCGGTGCTGCCTTCCGAGTTTTTCCCTGCCGAACCGCCGGGACCGGGGGCAAGCAGCAAGGCCCAGCTCCAGACCCCACGTGACGTCGATGAGATTCTAGAATGTCGCGACTCGCCGGGGCTTGAGAAAGACCGATCCGGCGAATGATGACAAAGCCCCTGGGGTTCCATTGGAGACGAGCAGGGGCATAATTCGACCTCATGTCATTGGTTAATAATCAGGAATTCAACTACACTGGTTTCTCTCTCTCTCTCTCTCAGCATTGAAGGTGATCGTATTTCGACCTCAAGTTTTACCAAGATTCCACTATTGATGTTTCATGATTCCTGAATTCCATCTATGATTTGATCCATGAAAGGCTCTTCGTCTCTCACCAACTTGCGTTGTGCAGAGGCACCTCCGCATGCTCTCCTGAGACGTCAAGGAAAAGGAATATGATTGGTCAAAATTCCTCCAGCCAATCATAAAATTCCCTCTGTCCTCCCATCCAGACCCCCCAGAAACCCATCACCAGAAGCAGCTGGCTGAGGAATGGAAATGGATGCATTCTTCCGCATGCAGAGCAAATAACTGCAGATCAATTTTTGAATTAAGCGCCCTTTCCCCGGTGAGTTCGTCACTGTAAACGCCCATTTTTCCCTCAATACTGTCATTCACCAGCAAACTCCCTCTCTTCCTTCCGTTTCGACTCTCTTCTTGCTTCTTCTTATTCCCCTCCCAGCAGGGCCGGGTCTTGAACTCTCTCCGTCAGCTCCGTCAGCACCGCCGGCGATTTCTCACATCAGCAGCACCAAGTGAAAAAACAACTCACAAGGCTGCGACGATCTCTCATATTCTGCCATTCGAAATGAGCATCACCGGGAATCGCGGATATCCCGGAGATCAGCGCATCTCACGAGCGGATCATCCGGATTCAAACTTTCTATAGAACCTCCCCCACGTTCATGTCTATACAAAATTTCCGCCCATCTCAACCCCATTCACCAGACCGACATCATGATGGGGGGTTAACCCTCCTGCTTGAGGACTCAACTACCTTGAAAAAGGCCACGAAATACCGCCAACATACATCTATCTACTCTACTCTACCTTACTCAACTCGGTTCTCATCTTCATGCCCATCTCGGATGATCTGCATTGCCAGCTACCGCAATAGAGCGTCCAACCTCCCCAACCGCACGACTTACGAAGCCGTCTCTTATCACCACCCTCACGCATCTCATCTCACCTCAGCCGACCGAATCTGCAATTCAGGCTACAAACAATTTACCCATCGGAACCAAAGAAAATTAACCACCACGACGACCAACACCAACAGATACGAACAATCATGCATGCCCCTTAGACTAACGCAGACGCTTCTGCAAGGCAACGTGTCACCGGTTCAACAGCTAAACAACTTCAAAGTTTTGACTTACACCAGGCTAAAAGCTCCCATCTTCTGGTCATGCGTCCAGTTTCCCCTTCTTAGCCTCGGCCGAACGCTTTCGCCATTCCCCTCATCTCTCTCTCACTCACTCATGATCATAAAAAGGGACGATGAGACGGCAGATTTTTAATTAACGAAGTCTTTATTTTTTTCCTTTCTGACTGACCAGGTATCAATTCCCAAAACTATCCCATTTGTTTCTCGTTTCCCCTTTGAATCCAGCACAATACACACAAGGGGAGCAAACACATAAAATTACATATGCACAACGACTTGCCGTCCCCGATTCCTCCTCATGCCCCCCCGCCTTTCCTGCTTTTTCCCGTTGTTCCCCCTTCGTCAGCCCCTTCCCCTGAGGAATACACTGTTCTAGGGAATGCGCCGCCCACTACCAGACAGGAGAAATCGTCGACTTCGTGCTGTTGTTGTTACAGGGAATGTTTTGTTTTCCGGGTCGCGCCGTGAGGCCTTGCAGAAAAGCAACAGAGAAATTCCAAAGCTGCCAAACCCGACCAAGCCTTTCGTATATCAGGCATCGATGACGGTCCCCTTTCTTTCCCTTTCCCCTTTTACCCTGAACCTCCTTCCATCCTCATTATTGTCCTTCTCCTTCCATCACCATGCGATCTCCCCCTCCCCCACCAAGGTCGTAAAAGGGCCGTCAAGATTCGGATATCGTCAAATGATTCCCAACATGTCTGTGGCTTTCCCCACCGGCCCGCCCGGCTCCGGCTGGTATGCTTTCGTTGCATCATATCATCGGGAACACATTCAGTCGACATCGTCGATGAACGTCCCTATGAGAAAGGAGTGAAAGAACTGGAAAAGGAAAATATTAAATAAGACAGCACAAACCGCCGTACCAAGCTCCCAAAACCCCACGAGTACCCGAACGACCAAAACAAAATTATAAACTCGAAGCGACCGAAAGACCACCAATGATATATCCTGGATGAAAACAGATGCAATGTTCCGAGTTGACGGGGTAATAGTATGTGCTTGACAAAGAAAACGGTGCCCGAAGGCGAAAAGCCACGGAACGAATCGAGGCGGGAATTGAAGCGACAGATCCGGTGATCGTCCCTTATCGACAAATTTGACGATTACACACGCATTGAGAAGTATGCCGGCAGTGGGTTGTGTGTGAGTGTTGAACCCCAGAAAACAAAGTACCAACTTGATGTATGCTTTTTGGCGGTTGATTTGACCTTTTCTGTTCCTTTAATTTATTTTCGTCTGGATCCCATTTAGCCCGTTGAGATTGCCCCAAGGGAGGGATGACAGGCGTGGCGAGGCACTGGGCCTATAGAGGCGTCCGAAAGGTTCTCCCTCTTCTTTTCAACAATCGACAGCTCGGTTCTGTGGAGCCCGCGTGGTATCTCCTTCTCTTTCAATCAACGAGGTGGGGGAATATGTTAAAATCAAATCGACGTCAAAATTTCCGGTGGTAGTACAGCAAGCGGCGCCTAGACTAGGCACCGATGGAAATGATGATTTGGTATCGGAAGGCACGGGTGCCAGGCGTGGCAGGAGCCATCGTCGGATGGCGTCTGGCTCTTACATGTTCTCGATCCGTGCGGACGGGAGCTGCATTGAAGGATCCTCGAATTCGATCTTGGGGCCGCCCCAAGGGTCGTACACACCGGAGCCGTAGGTCGGCAGCTGGCCGATCGTCGCAACCTCGACCGGTGCCTGGTACGGAACGCCGTTCCAGTACTCCTCGGGTTGGGCCTGGGGTGTCGGGGAGGCGTATTGGCTGACCTGCTGAGGCGGAGGCTGCGGTGCCTGAGTCGGGATCGGCTGAGGGGTATGGATCTGCTGCTGCATCTGCTGGTGCGGGTACGCGACCATGCCGGCTTGCTGTTGCTCGAGAACGGGGGAGGCATGATGCAAGGCATATGTGGCTGCTTGGGTTGGCTGGTGAGTATAAAACCCTTCCTGAATGGATGGGCTCCTACCCGATGCTGCCGAAAAGCTGCTCGGGCTGCTTTGGATGGATTGGTTCATACCAGGTTGAGAGTACGGCACGTCAACCTGCGGCTGTTGTTGCCGGGGCACCTGCCCGTACTGTTGGGGCATGGCCGTGTTCATGGTAGCGACACCCGGGTTGCCCTGCTCCGTCACGTAGTACGAGTGCTGGCCCATGCTGGCGGTTCGCTGCAGCATGTGTACACCGGGGTGTTGCTGATCGTGGACCATACCGTGGACCTCGTGTGCCCCGCCGGAAGAAAGGCTGTGGCGGTGCGCGCCGTAGTGTTGCTGTTGTTGCTGCTGGGGCATCGGGTAACCGTTCATGTGCTGGCCGAAGTCGGCAAACGAGGCAGCTCGGTGCATTGCGTGACCCATACCGGGGTGGTTCATGGCCATCACGCCCTGGGGAGGCCATTGCATGCCAGCGTGCTTCGGTGTCGAAGGAGACTCGCCACTGTCGGAGTCTGATGTGCAATCATCCAAGAGCTCATTGGGGTGGAGGCCACGCTGGTGAGATCTCCTCTGGTGCTTGACCATCGTGGTCTTGCGGCAGAAGCTGTTTAGTTGATTAGTGTCAACTCCGTCAAGTGAAAGGGAAAGCTTATGGCTCGAGATCTACCTCTTCAGGCAACCATCGTGGGCGCACTTGTAAGGGCGTTTGCCAGTGTGAATGCGGCGATGTCTGGCCAAACTCGAAGACTGCTGAGGTTAGTGGCTGTTGGAACATGCAGCATCATCAGAAAGGAATCATACATCAGAGAATCGCTTGCCGCAACCAATGTGCTGGCATTGGTGAGGCTTCTCTCCTGTGTGAGTACGGATGTGGACAGTCAGAGCACTCCGTTGGATGAAGCTCTTGCCACAGCCGGGCGTTGTGCACGAGTAGGGACGCTCGTTGGTGTGAATGCGGTAGTGTCTCTGCAAATCAGACTTCCTGTTGAAGCTCTACACGATGTCGAGGTTAGATCCGTCCATGTCACACAACAGTAGTAGCCGAGTGGCCCTACGATTCTAGACTCACCTTGTTGCACGACTGCCAGTCGCACTGGAAGGGGCGAGCAGTGGGCTCGTTCTCGACAAGCTCCATGAGTTCCATTTCTTTGGGTTGTGTTTGTGTGTTGATCGGGATTACCAAGATGCGGACCGGTGCAGTAGCTGTACTACTTATATGCGTCCGCGGCGAAGGATATTAAAAGGTGTCTTGAATTATCGGGTGATGAAGGACTAGGCTGGTATGGTGTCCAGAGCAGAAGAAGCAAGGATAGCGTGCGCTGAGGTGTGTAATATGGTACCCTGGTTCGGAAAGTTGCTTAAGCGGGATGCTTAATGCGGGTTCTCTGTGTGCAGACTCCCGAATCGTCGTTCAAGGAATGACGGGTCGGGACAAGAAGGCAACGGCGGTGACTCTGTACCGAGAAGTAGGAGGTCGACGACTTGAGACAGGAACGGGTGCGGCGTCCAGCGCAAGGTTGCCGAAGATGAGCAGTGTTTGAAGCGTTGAAGACGACGGTGCGTTCAAGAACGTTGAACAATGGAAGAGGAGGGTGGACGGATGATGTTTAAGAGAGAAGAAGAAGATGAGGAGGAGGAGGAGGAGGCCTGAGCTTGGTTGGGGGTGTTGGTATTAATCAGGCGTGGTGGCTGTGACGGGGAAGCTGACACTCCTCTTGAGGTTGAGGGAAAAGAGATGGAGATTAAGGTGTGTGTGAGAAGGAGAGTAAGGTAGTATGAGAGAGTAAGGGGAGTGAAGCTGGTAGGAAACGATCAGCTCAAGATAACCCAAGGTACGACGAACTGATGAAGGCCAGGAGGTAGAATGAGTTCATAGCGGGTGGGAGTAGCCTTCTTTAAGACAGCCACAAGTGTGGACGTACCAGAAGGTGGGAGGGTCCTGGTGCACAGGCACTAAAATTCTCCGTCTTCGATGAAAATTAGCCACCTGACTGGAGGATCTGTTGCGAGTGGTCGAGCGCAAACTGGTGGGAAGTGCTGATGTTGCTTGCAGGACAATCCCTTCTTCGGGCGGCGGATGAGATAAGAAGGGTGAACCAAGTTCGGGCTGGCTTGCCGTGTATTTTGTTTCGAAGTCCAAGTGTCGAGGGCCGGCGTGTGTTAAGTTTCCGAGACTAGAAGCATAATGGTGACCACCAGGAACAATGCGATCGTCGAACCTCTGAGCGCTCAGGTACGGGAGACCAAGCGGATCTTGGACGACTGGCGTCGTTTTCTGCTTGAGGGGTGTCTGGATGACAAGAAACAGACTCGAGTCTTCTACCGGCAGCTTCCTTGCTTCTATTTTCTCGTCTGGCTTCTCTTCAACGACTCGCGCAGAAGTGTGCACAGAGCTCTTGATGGTCTCCAAAGGTGAAGAGGATCCACTGCAAGATGGTCTAGACAGACGGACCGCGAGAATCACCCAAGTGGGGGGCCGAAGGAAGGTACTAGGAAGGACGTCTGAGGCTCTTCTGTCTCTATTCTCGTGGTGTGTGGTGAGGCTACTTTGGGCGATGCCGGGATGTTGCAAGTGTCGACGACGGTGAGCCGGGAATGGAGAAACCTTGGTGTCTGTGGTGAGAGTCGAGTAGTGTGTGTCGTGGTGGAGAACTGGCGAGTGAACGACAGATTTGATGTTTTTGTTATTTGTTGTTAATCGACTTATGAAGGATGACGACGGTTATGGTATGATGATGTGGGTTTGACTGTAGTAGTTTATCCTCAGGAACGACAAGGACGAGTGGGATATGCCCGGCACAAGACGAGTCCAAACGCAACAGCGTACTTTGGCTGAAGAAACGAAACAATGTGGGAAGTTGAGATGAGGTGCAGTTGCGTGCGTGTCGTTGGTGTATGTGAGAGGTCGTGGCGCTATGTTATACTACAAGGGGCAGAAGAGAGACGATCGCAGGCAGGCCAGTCCAAGATTATCGTGGAGGCGTTGCTTTATGAGCGAAAGACGTGAGGCGTCTGATGAAGGTATATATTATCGGCAGCAATATAGCATTGCATTCAAAAAGAAGTGGTGCTTCTCTGCTCTGCTGGAGCGGGTAGGTTGCTCTTCCAGGGGCCCCTGGAACGAGGTATGGATTCTGAGCAGGGGGATAGGGGAGCTGTGGAGGCGTGGAGTGAGGTACGCTCCTAGGTACCTGAGGTAGTACCGATTGGGCCCTTTCTTATTTTCGACAGTGCAGACGGGTAAGAGAGAGAGGAGAGGCAGGGCAGGGGTACCGGTAGGGTAGGGTAGGGTAGTGGGAGAGGGAGGAGTAGAGAGGAGGAGTACCAGGAGGAGGAGGAGGGTAAGGGTAAGGTAGGTCGAGTGACTTTTGGCATGTACCGTAACCGGCGTCGTCCTCGCCGGCGGGCCTTGGTGTGGGAGACGCTCGAGCGCTGGCAGACCAGGTAGGGCCGGCCTGGTTTTGCTACAGAAATTGATTAGATCAACCGAGAGGAGAAACCACACGCCAGACTTAGATGGCGGACGGCCCTGCGGGCGTGGCGATCCTTAGAACGGGGGAGTAGGTAGTCGTTCTGTGCGTCAGGTCGCATACGTTCAAAACGGAATAGCCTCGATATAAATATATTATACGTTGTTTTTTGGGCTGACTGTGATGGACTGTCCGGAGAACGGGATAGAAGGGGTAGTTGAATTTGAAAGGAAGAGACGTTTGTTGGCGGGCTTGTATTGGGCAAATGGGAATTTTGAGTTGGGAGGGAATGACTGAGTGAGAGAAGCTGCAAGCGCACAAACACACACCCGCAGGTTGTATGGTGTCTACTTCTGTTGCTTTCTACTGTTCGCTGGCTATATGCCGAGACCGAGATGTCCGCACAACCCCAGTGTCCGAGCAAGTTCAACTGCACCTGGGGGCAAGAGAGGCGGGAAAACGGGTGATGAGTGGGAGTGATATCCGTAGGCCAATGGACCTTCGAAATGTGCACAGCTCGAAAAGCAGGCAAGAAGAAGCAAGGCCCCAATGTGACGAGTCGAGGTGGCAGAGTAATGATGAGACGCTCTAGGAATGCCGGTAGCAAGGGCCTGTAGCTTCTACTCTCCTCTCGGATCGCCTGTCCGTGAAGGTAACCGTTGGCAAGGTGTATGAGAAGAGGGGATAAGTTTGCTTTACGTTACAAAGAAGGAAGAGAGATCTGATACAAAAAAAAAAAAAAAAAAAAAAAAAGAGGGAGAGAAACAGGTACGGTACTGTATGTAGATACTGCACTGTACGGTACACCAGCACCAGAAGCAATGAACAAAAATTAAAACTTGCTGGTGATGACTCTGGGTGAGGGGGGCCCTGGGAAAGCGGTGCTGGTTTGGATGGAGAATGAGCAGGGCTGAGGTGACGGTTGGGGAGCGCGTCTGTGAGGTGAGGACGAGCGGTGTTGAAGATGAGATGTGAGGACCGTTTCTTTTTCCACGACGCCGCTCTGCTGCTGTGTTGCTGGCGCTGGGCTGTTCTGATGGCGGGAGTGGTGGTGGAGGTTCCGCAAGTCACGGCCGCAATTCCCTAACGAACGGACAAAGTCGGGGGTCTGTCCTCTCGGCAAGGAAGCACAGTCGTTGGAAAGAAAGCTTCGGAATACAGCCAGCAAGAGGTCCAAAAAGGTGGGAGTACGCGGAGGGGGGCCAAGAGAGAGTGAGAGTGAGGAGATCTCGAAAAGCTCCAGCCAAGTCCGGGTCCAAGATGAAGAACAAGGTTGTTTAACGTGTTGGAGAATCAAAAGAAGGTGTGTGTGATGTGTGATGTGTGTGATGGCGTCGGCGTAGATGGCGATGTGATGTGCACACAGACAATTGGGCCCAGATGTCGACAGCAGTCAAGCAATTCCTGGAGGACGGACGATTGACGCAAGGTATGACTGGACTGCCGGTGATGGAGGAGGGGTTGAGGTTTTTCTTAGCGGGCGTAAATGTGCGTGATGGTAGACTGCATGCTCCCAAAAGACGCGAGAAAACCACGACGGAGACGACGATGTCCACCCCTGTCCAAACCGTAGGCGTAGAGAAAAGAGTGAGTCGAGGTAACGTCGAGAATGTAGCAACCGAAACCACACGAGAAACCGGGAACAAGAGAAAATAAAAGAGTGTGATGGCGAGTAAAGAGACGAGCGAGGCAAAGCAAGAGTTCGTTCAAACAACAGCAGCAGCAGAAGAAGAAGAAGAGGAAGTTCAAAAGGCTGTATCCACAGAGTCACAAGATCACAGTTCAAGAAGAGGCTTTTTGCCTTCCCGTTGCCGACATGCGGTTGCGGCTTCGATTACCGTTGCGCGGGCAGCCAGCGGGGCGGGGATTTTTTTTTTTTCCTTTACAACAAAGAAAGTGAGCTCCAACGTTGCGGTTGTTTCCTTTCCTTTGTGTGTATGAGAATGTTGTTGTTGATCCTGCCACACCAGAGAGAAAAGCAGGAGGTAGGGCGAGAAAAGAACCACACACATCTACACTAGCCGTCGCAGTTGCTGAGCCAAAAACGCTACTGTGGCAGTAGCAGAGGCAACCGTGATGGATGGGACGGGGCGGCCGTCGCATGAGAGAAGGAGAGAGAGAGAGAGGGAGGGCGAAGCTGCTAACCCTTGATCCAACGACGAATGTCCATAGTTAGACTAACTACATGACTACGTTGACGGGCAGCCAGTCGAACGTCTGATCGAGGACGCGAATGGAGTGTAATGAAGCAAGCGAAGCGAAGCGACGGTGTAAGTGGTGCCCAACTCAAGGTAGTATGCGGAGAGAGCCTTTTCTCATTGGCGTCGTGAAATGCATGGTCAGAATGATTGACTACCACGAAAAGGTAGCCTTGCATCGCTTCCAGTCAGTCCCGGTCTGGCTGTCTGGCTGTCTATCGTCTTCAAATAAGAGTCGCCCTTTGCGGGTTTCCTTGCCCCTTTGGTAGAGATGGGGACACGATACATTGGAGAATACGTTAAAATCGTGGCTTTCAAGGCTAGACCGAGACCAAAGGCGTTTGGGTCTCTCGGCGTACCTTTGCTGGGCCAGCGTTCTTGTCTCTCTCCTTCTCGCTCCAAAACCATCGTAAATCTGGCGATGAAGCCCGGCTTGCTGTGGCCGTTCAACGACGTCAGATACTTATCCCCACAAT